TCGAAACGTCAACTTTTAAATCCTTTACGGTGGCCAATTTACATTTTCAACTCAGTTGATAATACTAAATTACCCTGCTATACTCTCCCACCGACGCACCACCGCAGTTTCTTTAGAAACTTACCCTTTTTATTCATTTACCTTCCTTACGAACTAGCCTCATGAGTAATCAATCGCACGGCGACTGTGAAATACTGAAGGATAAAAATATCTTATTTAGAGTTCTAAGTTCTTCTTTGCCCCGAAGATTTGGCTTTCTATGGTTTATCGGAGATTTTCGGAGATTTTCAGAGATTTTTATTCTCTCCGATACGTGTGATCAAGCAAACAAAAAGAGCCATTTGACTTGTTCCTACAGATTAAAGATTCTGTTGTGAAGACTGTGTCAGAGATACAAGTTGGCAATTTACAATCTTTGATTCAAGTGACGTCAATTATTGCACGAGCAACACTGGAACCCAGCGAGGTGACATTCGACACTCAGGTATGAATCGTTTGCATGCAGATGACCACGTGTTCAACACGCGATATATTTTCTGGTACATGGATGGAATAACATTTCAACTTATAATTCTAAACACGCGATCCCCTCTCAATGCTATTCGTCTACTAACGATAAAACTTTCAAGGGCATAATTCGAAACTTTTGACAAAAAAATGCATTTTGTTTTCACCAGAAACTTGCACTGAAAACACTCACCTCTATGACGTCACTACTTTCAAGTAAGACGACAGAAGATTATGCTTCAGAATATGTCTTAGTTGAGGAAGGAGGAGAGAACCTGGTACTGGGCCTCGGCAATCTTCTCCATTCCACTGCCCAGAAAGCTGATGTTGTCGGTCAAACAAAAGAGCCAACGGACGTACGATCTAAGGTTAGTTTCGAACTTACCGAATCTGTATGCGTTCCATCCCAGAAAAATGTGACTGACGTCATGATAACAATAACGTTTTCTTGAGAACCTGATCAGAAGGTCAAATATATCTTTTTGGAACAAGTTAAACCATGGCACCTGCAAGCATTTTTTAAATCTAATATTACAGAGTGAAAACATCTCCAGAGACACGGAGAAACTCATTGATGACGTTGCAACAGCTCTGTTGTCAAAGATGATAGTGGATCAAGAACCTCGCCGTATTAATACTAAGTCCATCAACATGGAACTAAGCCGAATGAGCTCCAGATCAAGGGGAACCAGTGCAGACTTCACAGACGATGATAGGGCAGGATTTAAATTTTCTCTTGCTGCCATAACTGATGACAAAGTGATAACTCCTGAATATATAGATAGCGTGGTAAGCCTACATTGGTTTCCTTGAATGTAGTTAGTCCTGTATAAGACAAAAAGCACGTTGTCTCTAGAACCTTAAACTTTACTTTAATATTTTCTCTGGGTTTACACATACTCAGAATGCTTTCGTAAACGCCATCTCGCACCAGAACTGCATAGTGTAAATGCTGAATAATATGTATTCACAACAGTCGTGTCTTTTTACAGTTGACGATGAGTGCTTTTAATCCTTTCACTTGGGATAACAGTTCAGCTGTTGTCAGGGATTCTCATGTCCTTAGTTTGAACCTTAAAGATGACGAAGGAGAACCTTTAATAGTCAAAGACAGCAGAGAGGATATAGAGATCAAGATTCCACGGAAAGTGAAATTTACTCCAGAGGAAAGAGTTTCGTTCTTTGTGAAGCCCAGCAGTGAGGGGAAAATGCAATACCATAAAATAAACTCACCAGGTGTAAGAGGGAACGCTCTACGGCTGCGAGTAAGTATTGTTGTCTAACCCGTTTATTCAGAATCCTTCGGACACAGGCTCCTTTGTATCCGTCAATGAGTGGTATGTGGGCCGGTTGAATGGTCGGTTACATGGTTGGTTGGCTGGCTACAGTCCTGGTCTTGCGTGAGCTTTGAACAAATTGATGCACATGACAACTGAACACGCGAGTTAGAAATTAATTAAGTGGGATTAAAAGATTAATAAAAAACAGCTGGCTCTGAAATGGGAGATGAGCCACGGTGGAAAAGTCTGATAGAACTTTGGAAAAATTTATGAAAGAAGAAATAACACTTAAAACTCAGCAGAGTCTTCTATCCACAAAAAGCACAAAACTGTTCACAAATTTTGACTGATAATGCAACACCCTAACCAGTGAGTAACGTGTAAGTGATGACTGGCATTAAGCTGATCCATCGCTTTGAAATTTCGATAAGAATAACACATAGCAAAATCATTCTGCCAGGGTAATCAGTAGTAAATCTGTTTTCAGATCACACCAGAAAGACCCACCATCTTTAAGGTGTTTGTGCGACAAGGTCAGCGGCCAACTGTCACAGAATACGACCTAACCAAGAGAATCCCCGATGAGTCGTGTTCCATATCTCCTCAGGCTTCTCAGCGTGGTTGCAGCGAAGAAGCTTACGATGTTGTCTTGTACCATGAACTAATCAGTGAGGCGGGT